ACATATTTTCACATTAGTGAAGTTGTAAGTAAAAATTAAAACCAATAGGAGGAATCATCAGAAAGAGGAAACAAAACTCAACAGAAGAGGAAAAAAAAATTCTGCTATCCACTTCCGTTTTCTGGGAGAGTTCATCCCATTCACATTCACAGTTATGATTACTATCTGTGTCTTTTTCCTTCATCCTTTTCCCCCCGTTTATGCTTTTCTTTCTCCTTTCTCCTTTCCCCGCCTCACTAGTGTTTTGCTTTTGACCACCGCCTCCTTCAGTCTCTTCTACCTTCTATTATCCCTTTCCCTTTTCTTCCCCTTTGCCCTTACCGCTTCTTCCCTCTCTTCTCTCCCCCCTCCCTTTTCTTTCCCCTTTTCCCTCCTACTGCCTATAGGGCAAGTTAGATTTCTGTACCTTACTGATTATGTTATTCCCTTCTTAAGCCAAATCTGATGGGAGTAAGGTTCAAACAGTGCTCACCCCCCTCCCTTCTTTCCCTCTGCTGTAATAGGATTTTCTCTCTTTTCCTGTAATGTAATTTATCCTTGTCTGCCTCCTCCTTTCTCAGTACATTTTCTAAGCTCAGACTAATCCACTTACTTGGATTCATTTAACTCACTTGATTAGATTTTTTTTTATCATTACATCAAAGTCAACTAATATCCACCCCCTTTATGTATACTCCTTTAACATGGTCCATACAGTTCTCAAGAGTTGCAAGTGTCATCATGTAAACAGTCTGCCCTTATTAACAACATTTTGTATCTTTCTGTCCCATTTACCTTTCTTTGTCTTTCTTGAATCTTGTACTTGAAGATCAAAGTTTTTGTTGAGCTCTGGTCTTTTTATCAGGAAGGTTTGGAAGTCCCCTATTTCGTTGAATATCCATCTCCTGCCTCGAAAAATCATGCTCATTTTAGCAGGGTAGTTGATCTTTGGCTGCAATCCAAGCTCCTTTGCCTTGCAGAATATCATGTTCCATGCCCTGCGGTCTTTTAATGTAGAAGCTGCAAGGTCCTATGTAATCCTGACTGTGGTTCCATGATATTTAAATTGTTTCTTTCTGACTGCTTTCATACCTTCTCTTTCATCTGGTAATTTTGGAATTTTGCTATTATATTCCTTGGCATTGTCAATTTGGGATCTCTTTCAGGTGGTGAGTGGTGTATTCTTTCTATGGTTATTTTACCTTCTGGTTCTAGGACTTCTGGGCAGTTTTCCTTTATGATTTCCTGAAAGATACTGTCCAGGCTCTTTTTTTCATCATGATTTTCAGGTAGTCCAATGATTTTTAAATTGTCTCTCCTGGATCGATTTTCCAGGTCAGTTGTTTTACCAATGAGGTATTTTACATTTTCATCTTTTTTTTCATTTTTTTGTTTCTGTTTGACTGATTCTTGCTCTCTCATAGAGTCATTAGTTTCCATTTGTCCAATTCTAGTTTTTAACAGATTGTTTTCTTCTGTTAGTTTTTGTACTTCCTTCTCCAATTGGCCAATTGTATTTTTAAGGGATTTGTTTTCTTCAGTGTACTTTTTTTCCAGTTTGCCAATTGTGTTTTTAGGGACTTGTTTTCTTCAGTGTACTTTTTTTCCAATTGGCCAATTGTATTTTTGAAGGACTCTTCTACGTCTCTCATTTGACTTTTAAAATCCTTCTTGAGCTCTTCTAAGAAGGCTTTTTGGGCTTCAGACCAGTTCATATTCCCTTTTGATGTTGCAGATGTGGGTTTGTTGACAATGTTGTCCTCTTCAGAATTTCTGCCTTGATCTTCACTCTTCTCATAATATGAATCTATCGTACATTTCTTTTTTTCTCATGGTTTCTTTATTCCCTGGCCTTTAAAGAGATTGAGCTCTCCTGCTGGGGAACAGAGGGCACTGACCCAAGCTTCTTGTGTTGGGAGCCTAGGTCTTGGTCACTTGCTTTGTGTGCTGGGGTCTCTTATGTTGGCAATTGGAGGCTGTAGGTTTCTGGCAGCTTACCTCGTGTTGGGCTGGAATCAGCAAGGCTGGAACTTTCAGGCAGTTCTAGGTTGCCTGCTTTTCCTTTCCTTTAACTTTCTTCATCTCCTTTTAATGCAGGGCATTTATCTGCCTGGGGCCCCTTGCGATGCTGCCTCCCTTGTTTCTGCTGCTGCACTGGGAGATTCCTTTGTGGTATGGTGCTGAGGCACCTGGTAGTTTTCTGAGCTGGTTTCCACTGGTTCCCCCACCCTCCCTGAGACACTCGGAGGTCTAAGTGTTGGTGTTTGCCTGCTCTACCATCTGGGCTTCAGGATCTCCCTTCTGGTTGACAGTTGGAGGCTGTAGCGTTCTGACAGCTTACCTGGTGTTGGGTTGGAATCAGCAAGGCTGGGACTTTAGGAAGACTCTAGGTTGCTTCTTCAGCTCCTTTCAGGTGAATGCTGCTGGGTGCTTATCCCCCTGGGGCCCTTTGTAGTGCTGCTTCCCTTATTTTTGCTGAGGTACTGGGAGACCCGTTTGCTGGGCTGCTGTACTGCTGCTTCCCGTCTTTTTTCTAGTTCAGCTGTTCCAGGGTTTTTTTTTTTCTGGAGTGATATTTTCTGGGTTTTCAGAGGTTGATAGGGGAGGGTGAGAGCGACTACCTTTTTCAAAACAGTTTTCTTTATTTGAATAATTGCCATTTTAATTCTCTTACCATAGGTATTTACTTGTATGATCTAATCATCCACAATTCTTTCCTCTTCTTGACGCATAGCCAATCATTTGCCACATCCTATTGATTCTAACTGACCTTCTTTTTAACCAAGGGCTATCACCTCTATTCTGGACTGTTATAAATTGCCTACTTATTAGCTTCCCTGCCTTCAGTCTTTCCCTCTCTAATCCACTTTCCACAGTGCTACCCTTCCCCCCTCCAAAAAAAAAACCCTTTCCTAAAGTACAGGTGTAACCATATCACTTCCATATTCAAAAATATTAATGTTTCCCTTCTTATTGCTTTTACAATAAAATCTAAATGCCTTAGACTAGCATTTAAGGCTTTTCACAATCTTTTGAATGACCTTAAAAGTTTTACTGTGTCCACCTCTCAGAAAGATAGCTTTAAATGCTTGAAGTGAGATTACCTTCCATCTACATTGTATATCTCTTATATGTACCTATTTATTTACATGTGCTCCCCCATTTGCATAGGAGCTCCTCAAGGGCTAGGACTGTGTTTTCCCCTTTTTATCCCTGGTGCTTAGCACACATTTAAAATTTAATAAATGCTTATTGATTGACAGTCTGCTTTCAATCTACCTTTCCAGCCTTATGTACTTTCTTTCATAGAGTCTGTTCCAGATGAGATGGACAGCTGTCTGCCTCTTGCCTTTGAATCCATTCGTACAATGTACTCTCCTTCCCTATCTTGGCCTTTCAGAATCTATCTTTTCTTTCAAGTCTTAGTTCAGTTTCCATTTCTTCTGGAATCCTTCTCTTCACAGACTCCACAGTTGTTAGTGCTTTTTCCTGCAAGAATGACTGGTGATTGTCCTTATTACTCTTAGACTTCTTGTTTCTTCCCCAGGAAGATGTAGCTGTTAGAGGGAAGGGATAGTTTTGGTTTTTGCTTTTCTATCCTCAGCACCTGGCCGTATGCACTGGTTTAACAAATGTTCAGTGAAGTCTTATTTAGCATGTCAGGTGACCTTGAGATCTTGAAGGCTGTGCTAGAAAAAGGCATGCTCTGACAATCCTACTATGAAAGTTCCTCACATGGATATATTATATCCAGGGACCAACCTGAGTAATATAAAAAGGGTCATTACCAGTTGATTGGCCATTCGATGATTCTTCCTTGAGTGATAGCCACCTTTGAAATACAAATAATATGTCAATTACCCTTAATAGATTTCAAAATACCTTCTCAACTTAAAAAAAAAAATCTAGAGTATGAGTATAGCCAGATCTTCCTGACTACTGGTGCAAGCTCTAACCACTCTGCCTCTCTGTATAGTTCTCTTTTCAAAATACCTGCTATCAGAGACCAAAGGCATATAATAGGAAGTCTGTTCTTCTCTGATTTTGAAACCTGGAGATGGAGGGAGTTAGGATAGCGTCAGGTATAAAGTGCCTGAAGAACTGTAGGGAACACAATAGGCCATGGTCAATCCTAATGGGAATCTGAGCCCACTCTTAAGGGATGGGGGAAGCAATGACAACTGGATTTGATATTGAGCAGGTAAAGCCTTGAGTTCTGTGAATGGGTCTGAATTGAGTGGTTTGGGAACCCTTCCCAAGAACAACTTGGCATCAAATTCAGTAATTAAAATGCATTCAAAAGGAGACAATTACAGTGTTAGCTTAGGAAAAGGGAAAGATAACTATATTGTAAAGATTACTAAGTAGGAAAAACATCTTTTAGGAAGTTCAAAGCATCATGGTTTTAGAACAGGAAAGGACCTTATGAGTCATTAAATCTAAACCCCTCATTTTACAGATGAGGAGACTGAGGAGAGAGAAGTGAAGTGATTTGCCCAGGGTCACACAATTAGTAAGTGTATGAGAATTCTAACCCAAGTATTCCTGACTTTGGGTCCAGCACTTTGTTAGAAAATCCAAGTTCCCATGGAGCTCATAGGTAGTGGAACTGGAATTTGAATTTGCATCTCCTGCCTCCAAATCCAATGCCTTTTCCATTGTGCCATGCCACCTCTTGTTAAGGGGAACAACTATGCTTTTGGTAGAAATATTTTTTGTTGTCCAATTTAAAAAATGGTTTTGGAATATTAAACATAAGTTAATATAATGACTTTTCTATAGTCTACATAGAGAGCACTAATTTCTACTTTGGTCATTTTATTGAGATGCTTAAGGTTTGTGATTTACTCATCTATGAATTGGAAGCGTGTCTTATTGTCACAGTATACTACTTTATATTCTGAATTAATTCTAATTCAATTTAATGTCTGAAATACAATGTGAAAACTTGTCTCAGCCCCCCCAAAAAAACATAAGAAGCAAAATTAACATATTCCTTTGCATTTTGTTTTGTACCTTAGGCAAGGCATTGACATTCCTTCTCCTACAACCACCTAGTCCTAAGCTCCCTCCACATAGCACAATCCGAAGAACTGCTATTGATCTAATCGGACGAGGTTTTACAGTATGGGAGCCATATATGGATGTGTCTGCTGTCCTGATGGGCCTTCTTGAGCTGTGTGCCGATGCTGAGAAGCAACTTGCTAAGTATGTGCCCACTTTCTGTTATTTTTATTCATTTGTTTATTCTATTAAAAAATTTTTTTTTGTGGTCTTGATTTATAAAGTCATCTATGTAGGGAACTCCTTGTGGAAACTCAATTCACCAATGCAGGGAGATTATCTTCAACTTAATGTGAGAATTGCCTGCAGCATAGAAATTCCATGGCTTGTTTATTCAAAGTTGTATAGTTTTTGACTGAGGCTACACCTGAACCTAGGTCTTCCTGACTACAAGACCAGCCCTTTACTCTATTATTCCAAGCCATTACTAATTCTAAAGAACTTTTATAAACTGTGTTTGAGATAAAATCCCCACAAACAAAATTCCAGTTTTGGAAGAAGGAAGGCTAAGACGGTTCTGGAATTGGTACCTAGAAGCCAAATTGGAAATAATGTGATAAGACCTATACTTAAGATTATTGTGGCAGACAGTTAGGGGATTGCTGTAGTAATCCAGGCAAAAGATGATATCTTGAACTAGGTTGGTGGTCTTGTGAGATGTCATAGATATTTTGGAGGAAAAATGACTTAGCAATTCATTTGATATGAGGGGAAGAGTCAGTGAGAGGGAATAGTGAAGGATGATTTTGAAGATGCGAACCTCAAAGCCTGGTTGAATAGTGGTACCCCCAATAAAACCATGGAAATGTGAACAAGAGTTGGATTTATGGGGAAAGACAATGAGTTCCAGGATAGGTGGAAATTGAGATGCTTATGGACATTTGGGTGATATCGTGCAGCAGACAGTTCATAATGCAAGATTAAAGTTCAGAAGACAGATTAGAATTGAATATTTAGATTTGGAAACTATCTCCATACAGATGATAACTGAACCTAAGGGAAAATAATGAGATCCTAAAAGAAAGAGTATAAAGAAAAGGTAGACTCCAGGACAGAGCCTTGTGGGATAAATCACAGTTAGAAAGCAGGAGACAGATGATAGTCCAGCATTCTCATAACATAGCAACACAATCTTGGAATCATATGATTTTATAATTAGGTGGAACCCTAAATTTCATCTAGTCCCACATCTTCATTTTATACATATAGTGATTGAATAATGAGCCTACTGAAGATTAGGTATTTTATCTAAATTTAAAGGTTATCTCTAGACAAGAATTCCATAAAGAAAAAATAAAAACAAGAATATACATTGCAAATTTAATAGGTAAATATACTAGAACTGAAATACATAAGATCAGTAATTAAAACACTGCAATTAAAGTAGTATAGTGCATCTGAATCTTGATTGAGTTACTGTTTTTGGCAAACATGGATGTGTATGTGTGTGTTTTTGAAATACTCTTTTTTTTTAAAGGCAATTGGGGTTAAGTGACTTGCCCAGGGTCACACAGCTAGTAAATGTCAAGTGTTTAGTCTGAGGCTGGATTTGAACTCAGGTCTTCCTGACTTCAGGGCCGGTGCTCCATCCACTGCCCACCTAGCTGCTGCTTTGAAATATTCTTGAATCTCAGTTTCCTCATTTGTAAAATGAACATGTTGTACTAGATGATCTAAGGTCCTTTTCAGCCCCAAATCCAGGCTCCTCTGAATGCTTCTTTTGAGGGAAAGTATAAAATGAGATCCTTACTATAACTATTTTCAGTTTTTAGTTCTGTGCTTCCCTTGGAGATATTCCTGGTGGTGTGGTGGGGCCTGAGGTTGAAGTCCAGACTCCTCTTCAGGGAAAAGAAGCATGAAATGTATGAGAAAAAGTTGCCTTAGTAGCCTTGGGGATAGAGCTGTGATGACTTAGTGAGAGCTTTTTAGGATGGGGACTATGCATTGGTAAAAATTAAATGCAGATTTATTTGCTTTTTTGTTGTTATTTTGTTCATTGTGTTTTATTCCCCCTACCTTTGCCCTCACTCCAGTCTACAGCCACAGGGTATAGAGCTATATTCATTAGGATTTAATAATAGAGAGCAAAGTGAGGATCTGTGGGATTAGCAAGAGAATCATAAAGGGACTGAGATCAGATCAGAACAAGCCTCTAGTTCAGCTGTACTTATCTGGTCATTAAATAAAAATAGAAAATCATCCTCAAGTGAAATTCAGATTCTCTTTAGGAAATTTAATCTCTTTTGATACCTAAGCAGAACAGTGTTGACCTATTAACATTGATGAAAGCATTTATACCAGAAACCTTGATTGCTGTACAGGTTCTATTCAATATTTAACATTGGTATATTGCTAAAAGATTTTTGTGTATTGGCTGGATGTGGAGGACCTCAATTTGTCTATCTTGGATTTACCCTCTACTATCTCTCTGAACATCTCATCATCCTTATTTCCCTAGTTTGTTCATTTCTGCTACTGATTGAGCTTAAAAATTGACATCTTTTGGGGGCAAATTAAAAGTATCAGTTTTGTTTCTGTAGTGATTTGGGTTTTGTTTTTATATTAAATGTTATACTGACTAGTTATTGTGTCGTAACTGCCAAGTGATGTAATCTTGACAAAAATGTGTTTTCTTTTACATAATTCTGCAATGACAGATTAATATTTTGGATAAGTATATGTAGTGTTTAGCCTTACCTGCTTTAGCAAGCAGAGTCTAATTTTAAGCTATTTTATTGGCTTTTAAAAATCAGCTGCTGTTAAATATGCAATGTAAATGTATTCACTGCCATCACTGTTTCAAATTGTGGTTCATTGTTCTTTATGCACAAAAAATAAATTTTATATGGATCTGTACTTTAGCATAATTCCCCATTTCATTCTAGAAGGCATTGTTGGACTCCTGAGTAGTTGGAAGTAGAATGCAGCATTAGTCATGTATTATAGAAGAATATGTAAAAATGCGTTTGAATACCAAGTATAACATTTCAGTCTTCTTTTTCTTTAGGTTGCATAGTATTGATTTTCACATCATAGACATATGAAAAACTGAGGACTAACTAATATGTGGGTAGAAAGTACAATTAACTCTTGATTTTGTGGTAGTATGGTAGATGGTAGTATACATAATCTCATTTTAGCTTATAGTTTACATATTTGTCAATCATATTATTTGCAAATAATACTGCTTACAGGTAACAGAAATGACAGATTTATGTTTTACCTTCTAGTTCTGTTCTCTGGTGATAATCCTAATTTTAAGGGACTTCCAAATTATATTATTTCTTTCTTCAGGGATGGGATCTTCTAACAGCTTATAATGCCTACTATGCCTAATACAGTATAGGGTACATAGTGTGTGCTCAGTAAACATATTTTAAGTAGATTGATTAAAAACTGGAAAAATGCCACCAAAAGCAAATCATAACTTTAAAGAGCAAAAAGTGAATTGATAATCAATCCACCAAATTATTGAATCAATTATACAGTCCCCTTTTTCAGTTTTAAAAGTAGGACTCTTATTCATCACCAAATATACAAATAAAAATGCCTAATAAAGAATTAGGGTTCCTCTGCTAGCCTCCCTACACGTAGTCTATGTTAGTATTCTTTCTTTGGTATGTACGCAATGCCCTACTTGAGGTTCCTGTTGTCACCTTTGCTAGGCATACTCTTCACTCGCTTCTCCATAGATTCAAATCTTCCCTGCCCTTTAAGACACAGAAGAAATTCCCTTCATCTCTAAACTTAGACTTCACTGTTCTAATTCTCAATAACCTTTCTCTTTTTAGAATGTTGAAGATAGATTATTCTAGTAGTGTGTGAGGTGGATTAGAGAAAAAAGAGAGATGAGGGGTCCTGTTAGAATACCATGATCATTGTTCAGTTCTATGGTAATAAGGGCTGCACTGAGTAAGGTTTTGGCATTGGGGATAGAGAGATAACAGACATAAATGTTTTGGAGGTGAAATTTATAACTGAAATTTATAACATAATTGGTCACTGACTAAGATTTGAGGGAGAGAGAAAGGTCAAAGAAAACCCCAAGATTATGAGCAAGATGGGGACTTAGAAATAATGAAGTCAGAAAAAAGAGCAGGTTTAATGGTAATGATAAGCTTGGTTTTGGATGGAAATGTTGCCTTTCAAGGTGGACAGTTGAATATCTGGGGCTCAGAAGAGTGGTCTATCTTAAAGAGATAGATTTGGAAATCTCCTGAATAAAGTTAGTGGTTGAAGTTATGGGAGTGAATGAAATTGAGGGAAAGTGGTTAGAGAGAAAGCACCAAGGCTGGACACTTAGGGAACCGTCATACTATGAGGTCAACCTGAAAAAGAAGAACTAGCAAAGGAGGCACAGAAGGAATTATTAGAGACAGGAGAATCAGAAGTGTGATATTTGTGAAGCTGAGGAAGGAGGATGTATCCTATTGGGAAGGGTGGGTTGATAATGCCAGAGGGTACAAAGTGATTTATGAGTGAAAAGCACTGAAAAAAGGCCACTGGATTTAACAGTTGGGAAATAATGTAGAGTCATGAGGGGCAAGGTGAGTACAAGCGTTTTGAAGGAGAGTGCGGGCCAGTCAGAAAATGTTTATTAAGTATTTATTCTGTGCCAGACACTTTACTGGGCTCTGGAGATACAAAGAAACAAATATAAAAAAAAGTCCCTGCCCTCAGGGAAAGTAATCAAATAGGGGAGACAACATATAAAGTACTAGAAGCATACAAGTTAACATGGAATAGATGAGTCTCATCTGAAAGAAAAGTATTAGCAACTAAGAGTACTAGAAAAGGCCTACAGAAGGGGGAGATTTGAGCTGAGTTCTGAAGAAAGCCCTGGAAACTTAGAAGTTGGGAGTGAGGAGGGAAAGCATTCCAGGTATGGGGGACAGCCACTGCAAAGGCACAAAGACTGCTATTTTCAAAAAAGCTGTGAGTAGGCCAGTAGAGCGAATGGAGGGAAACAAGAATATTAGAAAAGTGGGAAGGTTACAGTTTTTGAAGGACTTTAAAAGCCAAACAGAGCAGTTTATATTTAATGCTGGAGGTGATAGGTAGCCACTAGAGTTTATTGAGCAGGGGAGTTCATATGTTCACATCTGCGCTTGAGGAAAATTACCCTGGCATTTGAGTGGAGGCTG